CTATCCCTAGACTCATGGCCCATACACACCTCAGAGTGATGTGAAATAGGAGGAGTGAACTGTTGGCAGATTTCCGGGCAACTGGCATCAGAGAAATAGAAAACTCTAACAGAAAGCTCCACTCCTGTGTTCCTTTGGGCACGAGCTGCCAGAACTGCCGCCAGGATTTCAAGTCAATGCTAAGCAGGATTTAGGCAGTGCCATGAGGATGCGCTCTCCATCAGGAAGGAAGAGCAAACACCCTCAGCATTTCATTCCAAGGCCTTGGGGCAACAGGAGTGGTTTTCCAACACTCCTGTGTAAAGTTTCCATGGCAGCATCCCCGAGAGCCCCACTGCCCTCTCTTGCAGCACCAATGGCCAGATCAGTCTGTCATTCCCTGCTGCCACTCAGGACGAGTTCTCCCCTTGCAGGCACACGTCCTGATCTGCATCAGCACCTGGCTTTCCTCTCTTCTCTCCCCACTGCCTGCTCTCACACAGCCAAGGCCAAACACCTTTCAATTAACAGCAACCTAGGTCTTCTCATCCCTCCTGCCAGCTCCAGATATTTAGAAATCTGAACATGGATTTGGACACCAGAAATTGCCCAAACCATGCAATGTCAATGGAGACAGTGTGGACATGGAGAACTAAAGCTTCCAGGGCACAGAACTCCAGCATGGAGGAAAATCAGCAGCCTCAGTGCTAACTGGCTTTGACATGGCTACAACATCATTTCCTCCTTGTTCAGAAGAATGCAATTAGGAAAGTTAAACTGGAAAAAGGTGCTCCTTTGAACTGGTAACACAAGGTGCAAACATAGCTAGGAAATGGCCCCTTGGGGCATCTGCCATACTCACCAGAAGATCTTTCCTTTCCTTCTCCTGACTCTCCAGTTTCCTCTGCAGTGATGCCACCTCCTGACGAACAGTCACAGCCTCTTCCTTCAAGGCAGTTTCTAGAGAGGTCTTCTGCTGTTCTGCCCTCCATAATGCTGCAGGAGGGAAGGGGAAAGAGAAGGGAGAAAGCAAAGTAAAGTAAACTGATGGGCACTCTGCAGAGACAACAGCACTGTCTTCTCTGCCTGACTGGGTTTACCAAATCTTAAGCCCACTAGAGCTTCCAAAACTGAGAGAAATGAAGGAAACTTCCAGGCAGAGAAAAAAGCAGGAATGGCAGGGGCAAGGTTCAGAGGAATAGCAAAGTGTGTTTGCTCTTGGCCTTGTGCAGAGTGAACAATCCAAGAGAGGCAAAGCAGCTGGGATGCCTGTGCAGCCCTGCTCCAGAGAGGCCAATAGCCTGGAGGCTCTGGCAGGGCTTGGAGCTTGAGAGAATTTGCCTCAGGCATCCAGCTCCAGCTGCTTAGCACAGACACAGCACCTGAAATGCACCAGCTGTGTATGGGATCAGCCACAGCAGAGCCAATTGGCACTGCCAGCCACAGCATAGTTCTCAAGAAAAAGTTTTCACAGGCACTTGGATGGATAAATCTCATACTGGTTTTTACTCATGTTGTTTTTCCTGTCTGCCATCTCTGGGCAAAGGCCTTTACCTCTGCATGGGATCAGAGATCCCCGCTGGTGGAACAGGATGGGGCAATGGATGGGAGAGAAGTTGTACCTTGCTGAGTTTCTTCCAACAGTGTCTGCAGCTCCTGATTGCAGGCCTTGATTTGGTTGTTGTCAGCCTGAGCCATCCTCAGCTCCATCTCCATGGCCTCACAGTGTGTGGCCATGGCCTCTGCTCTTTCCTCAGAGCTCTGGAGCCTCAGACGCAGCCCAGACATCTCAACCTGCAGCACATTCATAGCGTCCCTCAAGCTCTGTTCTCCTGCTCGGGACTTTTCCAGCTCCTGCAGCAGCTCCTTCTCTCGAGTGTCCTGCTGAGCTGCCTTCTCTGTCACTGCATCCTGCAGGGCCTGGATCTGGAAGATGGATGCAGAGAGCCTCAGGGACTGGGCTGCTCCTGAGGCAGCAGAGTGGGCAGTAGGGAGAGCATTGAAGGAGAAATGACTTCAGGCAGAAATATGCCAGAAACAGAAGGTGCAGAACCAAGGATTCCAGTGGAGACAAAGGTAGAGAAAGCAGGGAAAGGGATGCAAGGGGCACCCTTGAGGCTGCAGCTCTGAACACGGGCTGAACTGGCTGTGGTGGAAGTGCCCTGCCCAGCCTGCCATAGCCACGTCTGTGTCCCCACATTGCTCAGTGCCTGGCACAGGCACCAATCCTGTCAGGGACAGCACTGCTAACAGAGGGACAGAGAAGCTCCAGAGGAGTGTGCTGCTGCTTCTGCTCCCAGATTTCCTGCTGGGCCCCAGGAGAGAATGGGAGAAAACATCGGCAGCAGACACCAGATCCAGCCTTGGCCTGAGGGTGCAGCAGCAGCAGCCCTGGGCAGAACACGGTGGCAGTGGATGCTGCTGGGAGGGGAAGGAGGTTGGGACTACCATGTCAAAGGTGGTGTTGTGTGTCCCTGGAGAAGAGGATGGAATGCACAGCTTACCTGGGTGCTGAGCTCCTGAAGTTTTCCTGCACGGCTTGAAGAGACCAGTTCGGCCTGCTGAAGAGCAGATTGAAACTGTGACAGCTGATTATTCAGTTCCACGTTCTTTTCTTCCAGCTCTGTGAGGTGCATATTTCTTTCCTCCAGAGACAGAATCAGCCTAGAAGGGAAGCATGCAACTCATTACTAATGGTATCACATTTTATAAACTCCTAGGACTTGCAGCACCTCAGAGAAAACTGCTCTGTCCAATGAGGTTTGTCTAAACAACTTGGCTGTTTGTTCCCCCTGCAGTCACAGCCCAGCATGTGCCCACTCTGCTTTTGTTCCTGAAAGAACAGGGAGTTCCTGCCTTCATGGCCTACCTTCTATTTGAGATGGGAAAGTGAATACAAACCTAACAAAGTCCTGCAATGAAGACATTAGGGGAGAGGAAGAATTTTCTTCTGACTAACCAGGCTCCAAGGGGAAGAGGTTTGGTCAACATGGAAGAGAAGTTTCCTTCCCCCGTCTTGTATGTCCAGGTGGGAGGAGCAGCACCCTACAGCCAGGGGACGTCTGGCAAGTTCCCTGAGATTTACCAGCACCCATCCTACTTTCAGCTGGAGGAACAAAGGCCCAAGGCAGAAGTGGCAACAGAGGCTTAGAGCTCAAGCTGATGGAAGATGCAGAAACCTCCAGGCAAGCAAGAGTGCTCTGCCTTTCCTTTGTCTTCTTCTTGGAAGAAGAATCCTGTGGCACTGAAGACTGGCTTGACTTGATCAGCTGGAGGAGCCCCCCTAACCTTGCTCTGGTTTCTTGCATTCTTTGCACAGTCAGTAACACCTGTGAGTGTGGAGGGTGGCAGGGACCCTGCTTGAGCCCCTCCAGGCACCGGGGGGGCATTTTATCAGGAACAATGCACCAGAGACATTCTTGTTTCTCGGGTGCCTCCCAGGGCAATCTGGGCTTGATCAGCACTCAGGGCCTTAAGAAGGTTCTGCCCAGCAAAGGCATCAGATGCCAGGCTGATCAGATCCCAAAGGCTTCAAGTTACAGCAGCCAAGGTGGAGCTGATGGATGTATCCAGCTCCTTACACTGCAGCTCCAGCACTGTTAACACACCCACCTAACCTAACCTAACAGCACAACACTCCCTAGAGGGAAAGAGCTACCCCAAAAGCCTTTGTCTTCAGAAAAACTCCAACTGAAGGCTTATTATATTAGAGAATGAACACAACATACAGAAAATGAGATGTGTCTTCATGGAGAGTTCAGAATCTGCCACTTAAGAAATGCTGCCAGAGCCCCAGGCAGGT